AAAAACATTTAAGTGCCAATTAATTTAAATGATAAAAAGCTTGTTATTATATCAGCTTTCAAAAACAACAGCTCCCGTGAGGGTTTGATAGCGTATCTGTGACTAATGGAATATGTTGTTGCTAAATGTTCACAATAATAATCAGCCTTGATGAGAAAACAATCATTCATGTCTTTCTTTTCTTTTCTTTTTTTTAAAGATAACAGCCCAAGATGGTCAAAATCTTTTAAGCCAATACTGTAACTAATAGTAATCTCAGAATATGGACAAACTATAGTGTCATGTTTTATCCTTTAGAAAGAGGAGTGAAATAATCAAAACACATACTGTTAGTGTAACATTGTCAATGTGAAGTTAGCTTAAGAAAGAGGGCATAACTTTGGTCCTGTCATATTTTGCCTGATGGGGAGCATATAATGATTTCTTAAGCTTAAGTAAGTAATCCTCTTAATTCTTTTGTTTCTATTAGAGCTGTCAACGGACAGTTTCTGGGACACCTGGCAGGAACTGCTCAGCAAGGATTTAACTGGCTACCACATCACTGGTAACAGAATCCTCTTTACATGTTGCTCCAGATGGTCGTGGGATACGAAATGAATGCTAGATGTTAATGAATGGTTTCTCCCAGGCTCCCTTGGAGACGCGTCGGAATGTGACTCGTACGGATCATCGGAGGGGTTGAGCAGTCACCAAGGTAACAACAAGCTGCCCGTCAGACCAACACAAACGTCATTGGGCGTTTTGGAATGCAGGCCACACCTCCCGGTGACTCGCAGCAGCAGTGGTCCTCACGACCAGAGAGAGCAGAGACAGCCAGAAACATCATTACATCAGGCACTGAGCAGCCAATCAGGAGCCATTAGCTCAGACAACTTGGCACAAAGGACAGGATGCCCTGCATGTCCATTGTATAAGGTCAGGACAGACAGTTTGTCTCCCTTTCACTGCTCTGGACCTCTAAGAGAGACTCACATTTCTCACTCCACACCCTCCCTCTTCACGTATAAGCCTGACCCCCAGATCCCACAACAGTCCCAGCAGAGCCCTGCCCTCCAGACTGGAGATACAACAGATGCCTCTGGGCCCAGAGAAGAAAAGAGCCCTGTTCCCTCAAACTGGCAGACAGAGAGGTGGCATATATGGCAGATGCTGTCAAAAGAAAATCCAGAAGCACTGCCAGAAACCTTGGTGTGATGCACCTTTAACTTCAAACTGTGGATAACTTCTATCCTGTCACCTCATCAGCTCCTTATCATCTGTAAATGCAGTTCAGTTTGTATTTCAAATGCTGATCAAAATGTACAGCAATTATTATTGTCATTTTGCAAAGTGGAGTGTTTAACTGTACATATTTAACGCATGCTTTTGATTTTTTTTTGTAGTTTATTGTACTGTGTTGTACAATAATTAAATGCAAAATAAATAATAATTTACAGCAGCCATCAAAAGCTTGCATTTAGACTTGAATGTCATAATTAGACTTGAATGTTTTTTTAATGTTGAATGTAAAGAACATAAATCCTCTTTATATTGTAGTAATGCTTTCAATCTAAAGTTCCTTAATGTGTACTTTAGCTACTTTAATACCGAGCTTTGTTGCAGCCAGGCTGTAATCTGCTCACTTGAGGAAAAGCTGCAATTTGTGTCTGTGTTACAGTCCACATTTCAATTTATTTTTTTTCCCCAGAAAATTAAAACTGGATTATTATGTGTTTTCATAATGGGTTATTGCACTATTTTAAGTGAATTGTCACATTTCAGCACTCATTTTGTGCTTATCAGCCCTCCTGCTTCTGTGTTTGATGCAAAGTAATAACTGTTAAAGGAGCATTGTTTGTAGAGATGAATATATATTATTTGTAAATTTGCAGTACTTTGTAATTTAATAGAAATCAATCCTGTCTTCTTTTTTTTAGATGCCACTTAATAAATCGACTTTGATTTTCCTATTGTTTCTCTCTATTACAATAATCCCAGCCATTCTTGTGTCATACATTTAAAGTCTGTGGAAAACAAATAGCACTCTGAGTGGTGTTTTCTTTCATCTTTGGCATCAATCTGGCTGTTGGATAATCAGACTGCAGCAGTTGGAGATGTGAGACACTCTTTTGCACTGTTGACACATTATAAGAAAATGATGGCATCAAGTTGGATAAACTCTGGGATGTGACACGAGATTCCTTCAATCTAAACTAAAAAAACATTAGAAAGTAAAGTTAGAGAGTTAATTTAACTTGTTGCTGTGATTTGTTCCAGTAACATTCAGTATGTTTCTGAATTAAATCAGCCTCCTTCAGGCTAAAACAGAGCCTGCGGTCATGGGTTGTGGCAGAATGCAGCACTTGCCAAAACATTACTGACCCTGATATAGACTTGCAAAATAAATGAATAAATACAGCACATGTCCAACTGAACTGCAGCACTGACTGTTTACATTAGCTAGCTTTAGAATGTGAAGAAGCACGGCACCCGTGAGTGTTAGTGTGATCTCTGTGTGTCTCCAGTGTTTCCTACTAGGTACTAAGGGCTTTATTCTATGCCTTTATTCCTACATCACACACTCTAATTTATGCACCTTTGAGGGACAATTGCAAGTGACTTTAAGTACCAGGAGACACATTTAATTACCTCTGGTTGGAGTCCTGTGAACTGCATCACAGAGTTGTGTCTGTCAAAGTCGTCACAACTTCAAATATTTTACCTGCAAAGCAGAAAAGCAACGATCAAGCAAAGACAATACAGTCGTGTGTGCGCTGACCTCACAATAAAAATGTGTTTTCTGCTTCCAGATATTGTATCTTGGCCCTTTATTGGAGGCAATAATTCAGAAATCAGCATGAAGTTGAACTCAAATGCTGACTAAATTGTGGTTTGCAGCACCGATTCTGCTCAAACTATTTAAAGCGACCACAAGAGGGAACCATAAGACCAGAGAATATTTCCTTTGGTTGTTCCTTGTCATTGTAACCAGTGAACCGCTGTGGATCTGTGAAGTGGGTTTTAAAAAATTCATTATGTTTCGAAGAGCTGCTTGTTAGATTTCATTTCTATTATAGCCCATTCACCATGATTCCGTGTGGTAGGAATAACGGCCATTTTTCTCTTTGTAAAGATCTAATTATGCTCTCTATGTATTGCTGTTCTTGTTGCGCATATTTTGTCTTACCGACATTAATCTTGCTTTATGTGAATAAAAATGTGTTGTCTGAGCTGAGCTGAGACAATAACTGGCAAGACTTAGCAATAAATTCATGTTCCGAGCACTGGTATTGACAGAAGTGCTCGATATAAGTGTCTAATAATGCTGGAAAAGCGTGCCACTGGAATTTAAAACAGATTGCAGACAGTTTATGAAAACATCGGGATGCATATTTGAGGGTTCAGTTTGATTACTTCCCTTTAATTGATGGAAATGATTGTGATGGCTGCAACTGTGTAATTTGGCCCTGAGCTTTGAAAAATAGGGATGTCTGACCCAGTTGTTAAGCAAGGACAGGAGATTTCCTCAATACCAAGGGTTGTGGTTTAACTTTCAGCGCTCCACAGCTGTGCGAGTGGAGCCACCTCGCAGTCCCATAATGACGAGACCAAAGAGACAAAACAGGATGTCTGGATGTGTTTTACAACGATTCCAGCCTTGCTGATATTTCCCTTTACTTTCTACATCTGTGCTCCAAATGAAGCCATGTATTGTTCCAAACACAAACAGTCCAAGCACTGGAGGAAGAAAAAAAACAAAAACAGAGACTGGAGATGTTTTTTTGTGTCTTGCCTCCTTGAATGCAAACGATTGAGATCAAATATTTAATTTCATGCCTTATCTTTGCATTGCTGATGGATGTAAATTGATCCTTTGGCAGAGTGGTGCTGCTGTTCCCAACAGGAGGTCCATCCTGTCTGAGTCCTCTCCCCAGCATCAGGAGCAGCTGCAGGGAGGACAGAGGAAGGTCACCGCCAAAATGAGACTGAACGTTCAGAAACAAGAGAGCCCCGGCCCTGCGGTTTCAAGGTCGAGATTGATACACAAATCTCCCCGCAGAGGAAGAATGGAGCTCAGTGGAGCTCATTAAGGTGTTAGTCATGCACAATCACTCTCAAATCAAATGCGACAAAGCCTCAGTCCTTTTTTTTTTTTTTTTATTCTGTCATTTTATGCCCCAGCTCTTAATATGCTGCTGCATACTGACTGCTTTTCAATAACTTGTCATACAACTTAAGTGCTCACTGACCTCAACGATTTACTCGCTGATTTGTTAAAGCACCTTTGAGCAGCTCTGAGACTGCTCAAAAAATGTTTCCTCCCAGCCTACTGTTGGTGTTTACTTTACTCCAGGGAGTGCACCTTTAAATCGAAAGGAATTCCTGCCATCAATCACCCGGGTTAATGTGCTGCATTTACATTTTGAAAAGTCACGACAAGGAAGTATTCGGAGCTGATTTATTATCCGCTTGTACTTCATTGTCTATCTGACAATGTATTTCTGCAGCTCCAAAGAGGAACACCAAACAGCAACGCCCATCGTTTCACCAATGGAACAATGCGATAATAAACAGACTTTTAACGAATGCAAACAGGAGCCAAATGTCAATAAGAGGGGCTTATAGAGAGCAATGGTCATGACTGGCTAATGAAGAAAAGAAAAAAAAAAAGCTCATGTCATGGTTTGGGGTTTTCGTCAATGATTTATTCCGTCTGGTTGATCCGCTCTCATGCTTCTTCACGTGAGCCAATCCCAGACTGTCTCGCTGTTCCGCCTGCTGCATCACCTGATGGTCTCCGCCCCTCCGTTCAGCAGTTTCCCCTCTGCTAATCAGCCCCCTCAGTATATATACACCCCCAGCTCACCACTACCTTCTATAGATTGTCTTTGTAGCCTTCGCGGTCCAGCGCTTTGGTTTGCTCCTGAACATGTTTTGCCTGAACTCTGGATTCAGCCCCTGCCCGCTCCCTTGTGTTTGTTTAAATGCCTGTTTTTTTTTTGGTAACCTTGTACCATTTTATAGGATGTAAAGCTTCCCTTCTGCTTTTACAACCTGCCTCTTGTGACGTGCTCTCGGGTCCTTTCCAACAGAACTCTGATAGTTCAAGATTAAAGGATTAACAATGATTGCATTAAGCCTCTCGGCTAAGTCCACTTCAACACTTCATGAACAAAATGTGATGCTTTAGATACCAAGTGTGCCACTGATTAAACAAGTTAAGGCAATTTGGTGCAATTTTTGACACGCTTTGCATTCTTAGCAGCGCTCTCCCCTCCCTTCTTTAGATTGGGGGTGTTTGATGTTAACACTTTCTAGCTACTTTTTTTTCACATAAAGAATCAAGTCATTTAAATCACGCCAGCATACCGACAAACATGTTTCCTACAGTTGACGAAGCAGCCCGAGAGCTGTGTTCATGCAGCCCACAAAATCTTGTTTCATTCACACCATCTGTTCTGCCTCGCGCTCCAAGTGGGATAAATGTGATTAATATTTCTCATCTTGAAACAGGGACCACCTTGCACCCACAGTTTCTTTATTTTGATGTCAGCCTTCAAATGATCAGTGTACATGTAGGTTTTTGAAATCGAGTACGCGTATGGGCCCACATGTGGTTGCGATAGCCCAAATAGCTTCCTTTTTTTTCTGCCAGCAATGTTTTCCTCTTCTCTCCTCGCGTCCACATGATACAGCCGGAGCGGTTCGGTTGGGATGCCGGCTGTGTATTGGGTGGGACGGTGGGGGAGATCAAGCTGGGTCAACCTCAATGTGTCATTTGTTTGGCAGGGCCGGGCAGTGAATGATTCGCTGTTTAAATTACATTAGCACGACCCTTCAGGACAGTTTTCAACAGGCCGTTTTTGTTCAGACAGCAAAAGAAAATACAAAAAATTGCGCAACAAACAGAAAACTATGTGGCTGGAAAAATAAAAGACTCCCATGCAACATCAGGAATCACAGCAACCAGATGTTTTCCTCTAAAGTTTGTAGTTAGCAGCCATGAACGCTGATCTATCTGCTTCTTGCTTATTATCCTTTTTATCTTTATTTCGGCTGACAGTCTAATTGAGACTGTCAGCATGGCGTTTAGTGAGCGTTTAGCATACGCTATGAGGTGTGACATTTCACAACATATGCTCCGTGAACATATGTGTGCCAGAGAGACTGTCAAGTTTTCATATTTCGCAACCAGACAGAGCCTTCATCTGAACTGTACTCCTTATTTAGGACATAAAAAAAGAATGGAGGTAACAAATAGGTGAGCATCCTTGTTTGTATATTTTACTGCAAAATACAAGCAATAATTAACAGAAGATGTTGAAGTTCTTTGAGAAAACAGTTTTCTCTGCAGACCAGGTTTATTACAAGTCCGTGTATTTCTCCAATGCAGGAGAAGCACCGGCTTACAGACCGCAGAAGACAAATTAAATCAAGCTTCAATTATGATAGTTTCTTATTAATGAAAGAAACTGCCAGCAGGTGATAATTAAGCAGAAGGACAGACCTCTGTAATTAGACTGAAAATTACACAGTTTGACGAGTTAGAATGCAAATGTTTGTGTGTCTAAAAATAAAATAAATCAGCACCTTTAGGATTTCACACTTTTGTTCTGGGAGAGACAGCCAGCGTTATTTCCATTGCAGCTTCTTCTCTGAATCTTCTCACCGTTGAATCTTCCAATTCTCTCCCCTCCCACCCCTGGCAGCTTTTTTTTTTCTCTTCTAGTTATCTTGCTTACATCCTTATTCCCTTTGGTCCTCATTTTCAGATATGTTTTAAGAAACATACCCATTTGGCAGATTCCATTAATGTTCCGTCTCATACATGTCAGTCCTTCTATTAGTTTTCTATCCTGCTACCCCAGTTACCACCATCAGCGAGAAGATACACGTATTGAAATGCGAGTCATTAGAAATATGTCATTTCAGGAGGAAATATATGCCGTAGTAAAGTGGTATCCGT